GTGGGAAGTGGGGGGGTGTTTTGGGTGGCGGTTTCTCGGGAAATGTAAGCCGGCCTGCGAGCCGGCCAAAGCTGTCTTGTTCCTAATCGAATAAAGTACGCTTTGCTGAAATCACTCTCTGTCTGCGTACTTTTCAGGGTGGCAGTGACTTCCACAAGTTAGTTACACATGGGGGACTCAAGGCACAAGGGGAAGTGAGGAAACAGAACTGTTTAAAAGATCGTGCGCTGCTGGAACTGAGGGCAGAAAGGCAGGATGGAGCAGATCATTGTACGGGCACCTTTCGAGGCCTCCTGCTCCTGACAAAACATTCCATTCTGTTGCATTCAGAACATACCATTGACAGAACTAACAAGACAAGAGGCTGCCACATACCTGGGGGGAACTCGAGGAGGTGACAAGAGACGAGTAAGAAGACTCACCTGGGTGGGGTTTCTTATTTTGTTCTTTGTGTTCCTAAAATGTTGCTGGGTTGTAAACAACCGTGTCCTTTATCACTGCTTTTCTTTCTATAGAAGTCAGGAAGAATTTGATCTTTGCTACTTACAGTGGAGCCCTGAGCGGCCCAGGCTAGCCTGATGTCGCCAGATCTTTGGAAGCTAAGCAGGGTTGGCTCTGTTTAGTACCTGTATGGGAGACCACCAAGGAAGCCCAGAGTGGTGGTGCAGAGGCAGGCAATGGGAAACCACCTCTGAGGTCTTGTGCCTTGACAACCCCTACCATAAGTTGGCTTTGACTTGACAGAACTTTCCACCAGCACCTCTTAATGTGGAGAGAGGATTTTGGGGTCCCCCCCGGTATCTAACTCTCCCCCCCCCCCGTATAAAACACACGGTCACTGAATCAAATAACCTGGAATAACTGCCACCCTCTTGTTCTAGATATGCGATAGTTAAAGTAGGGGGGCCTCCCACTCAGTCATGAGGGAAAGAATAGAGGAGTCCCTTCTCCTCACCCCCTTTGAGCTATTTTGATTGTGAGTGTGACAAGGTGGCCAAAGGGTTACTACTCTGAGCTGAATACTCTTGAGAACGCGGGCTGAGGCGTGATTCATGATGTGATGCCTGTCACACGATGCCGTTTTTGGGAAGCAGCTCCACAAGCACTTCTGGAAGTATTACGCCCACACATTCAACATCCTTTTTTTTTTTTTTGGTAATCATCTGCATCAATTAAAAAAAATATCAGAATGCCATGAAGGGCCACGTGCAGAAATCACTTGAGGACTTTCCATGCAGGTGTATTTCAAGTGGTCCCCCAGGAGGATCAATCACAAAAAAAGAAAAGAAAAACCAAACTGGGCCCAGGTGGGTGAGAGCAAAAGCAGCCTTCAGTCCCCTCACATCTGTGTCTACCTCAGATGGTCTAAAGGTACACGAGGCAGCCATCTTCCTGAAGCTTAAACAGGTCTAGGTCTGGTCAGTGTTTGGACGAGAAATCAGCTATGAGCCATGTGTACCCTGCCATTGGCTCTGTGAAAGATCCACAAGATGTACAACAAATATCGTTTCACCGATGAAAACAGGAATATTCTCGAGTACATATAAATAATACTCCTATGTTCAGACCACAGATCGTTGACTAAGCAGTAGCATAGGGTTGCCAGCTCTGGGTTTGGAAACTCCTGGAAATGTGGGGAGTAGAGCCTAAAGAGGGTAAGGTTTGGGGAGGGACCTCAGCGGAATATAATGCCATAGCGTCTGCCCTCGAAAGCAGCCATTTCCTCCACGGGAACTGGTCTCTGTAGTTCTGGGAGATCTCCAGGGCCTCCGCCAGAGGTTGATAATACCACACCCCAGTTACTATCTTACATGGTCGAAGGCTTTTCTTTATGGGCTGCCTGTATTAATTTATTCTGCAAAGGCAGGCCCTGACCTAGCCTGTGAAGCAAGTGCGCTAATAAATCGGCCCTCACACTTTCCTTTTGCATCATTAAGTGAACCTTTAATCTCACGATGGATCTGACTATCTACGGTTATTTTATAATAGCTGCAACGGTACTATCAGGACAGGCACTTAGGGAGGATACGGAAGCTACAGCATTCAAGCAAATGCAGTGTTTTGTTGTTGTTGCTGTTATTGCTGTTTTGAACAGAAAGCACATCCAAAAGATAGCCACAAATCGGCAAAACAAGGATAGAGATTTACCTGTCACAAGTACAAGAAACTAGACGGCCTGTGTGGTGTGGTTGTCAGAGTAGATAAAAAAATTAAAACCAACAGGCTTTGTCAGGGGAATCTATTCGTCTTGCAGTAGTTCTTCAAAGAGAGTAAAAGATCAGTAGGAACCTACTGCAAGATGAGCAGATACCCCTGACAAAGCCTGTGGGCGAAAATGTGGAGGGAATTTTTGGAAATTTAACTGAGTAATAAAATATATTTTTACCTGATTGAGCACCATCAGCCTTGGCCTAATTTTATCTCCTTTATCTCTTTATCATCTTGTAGGTTAGAGTGACAGAGGAGAACCAGCAAGACTCGGTGGGTGCAACTCCCCACTCAACCTTGGGCCAGCCATATTCTCACAGCCTAACCTACCTTACAGGATTGTTGTGATGGGAAAAAACAAGGCGGAGAAAACACCGTGATCTGTCCAGAGTACCTTGGGGGGAAAGGTGAGATTAAAAAGTGACAGAAAACAGGTGGACTGTATGATAGTGTAACTAAAGAGATACCTTCTCCCATATAAGCTGTGCATGGCATAATGGTTGGAGTGCTGTACTAGGATCTGGAACACCCAGGTTCAAATCCCCACTCTTCCATGAATTCCCCCTTTTCCATGAAGCTTGCTGAGTAACCTGGGACCATTTGCTATCCCTACTTCATAAGGTTGATGTGAAGATAAAATGGAGTTCGTAAGAACACTGTTATAAGTGGCTTTGGATCCTTGATGGGGAGAAAAGTGGGGTATGAATATATAAATAAAACCTTAGTTGTGGTACCCCCCTCCTCACAACTGAACCATATTTGAAGAGACCCCCCCAGATGAGAACATTTATGTTTTCTCAGACTGTTGCATATTGCTTTTATTGTTGTTGTGATTTTTATTGTTCTTCTGCCTTCTGCTGCTGTGATTTGTGTGCTATGGACTGGAAATCTCAGATTTTTTTCATGTTGGATTTTTTTGCTCAGATTTCTACCACGATTTTTATTGGGCCAGATTATTCGTAAGAGGTTTTTAGTGTTGCAAACTGCTTTGAGAGGGCTTTTTTTAATAAACAGAAAGCACAGAGTAAAAACATTTTAAATAAATATATGTATTTCTTTTGATTAAACTATGACTGTTTTAGTAGATACATATTTTAAGTGTTTTTAAAAGGACCACTCACACCTTGTGTCCCCTTGCAAGGTACTTTTTTTTTTAAAGCTACGCCTCCCCGATCTGTAATAATCAAATGCTTTGAAAGGAAATGGGAATTGCAAGACTCCTTTCAGGGTGCCCACTGATTTTCCCATGGCCTACTTGTTTCTTCTCCAAATCATCTCTCCACTTCTCCCTTCCCCCTTGTTTTATCCCCTGTATAATTACATGGTCCTGACTTGGATGGCCCAGGCTAGCCTGATCTCGTCAGATCTCAGAAGCTAAGCAGGGTCAGTCCTGGTTTGTACTTGGATGGGAGACCACGGAGGAAGTCCTGGGTTGCTGTGTAGAGCCAGGGAACGGCAAGCCACCACTGAACATCTCCTGCCTTGAAAACTCCATGAGGTGAGTTGGTTGTTGGGAAAACAAACAAAAAAACAATCCTGTGAGTTCACTGAGGTTGAGAGAGGAGGTTAAGAAGGAGTTCTGCACATATGCTCCTGGACTGAGGCATGACACTGAAACAGGTTAAGGCTTGAGTCCTTAAAGGTAAAGGTTTCCCTTGCTCAAAAGCCAGTCGAATCCGACTCTAGGGTTGCAGTGCTCATCTCCGTTTCCAAGCTGAAGAGCCGGGAACAGCGCTGTCCAAAGACATTTCCGTGGTCATGTGGCCGGCATGACTAGATGCTGAGGCGCACGGAACATTGTTGGGGATCCCCAGTTCATATTTATTTGAGAAGATTCACATGCCACGTCTCCAGATCCTCTACCAGTGAAAAAACTAAAGACAAATTCAAGAATGCCACAATAAAGCACAGTAAAACCATGCAATAGCACCAGCCCCACAAGCAATAAAACCATCCTGACCATCAGTTCAATCTTGCTCTCATTAATTACTGTCCTTCCTCCCCATAACCTCCCTTCCGCTGGTTAATCAGGTCAGGGATCCATTGATCCATTTGCATCCGGATGTAGAGTCAGAGGAGCCGTGTTTGCCTGTTGCTGCAAAACAGTAAAAAGCCCAGTAGCACCTTTAAGACTAACAAACTTTATTGTAGCATAAGCTTTTGAGAAACACAGCTCTCTTCGTCAGATGCACGGAGGGTATGAAGAAACTGGCCAGAGATCTCTTCATACCCTCCGTGCATCTGACGAAGAGAGCTGTGTTTCTCAAAAGCTTATGCTACAATAAAGTTTGTTAGTCTTAAAGGTGCTACTGGGCTTTTTACTGTTTTGCGGATCTGGATGGTTTTAGAAAGCTCGACAAAGGAAGTAAGGATAGGGATGGAACTGGGTCTTCCCCCCCCCCCCATATCCTGGAGAAAACTCCCAGCTTAATCCCTGGGCTCTCCTCTCCGCAGCCACCCTCCTCTCCCCCAGCTTATCAGGCTACAAAATCTTTCCAAGAACAAAACAGACTTGCCTTCCATCCCACGGCAGTTCCTACCACAGTCTGTCTATTTCAGCACAGAAAGCCAACCTCACAAAGTGGAAAAACTGGCTGGTTATGCAAGAGCTGTTTACCTGGTGCAGGGAGGATGCTCCGCCCTGACCGCTCAGTTCCTCCCGCCCCCTTCTATAAAGAAGCAGACGGTTCTTAGCTGGCACCAGATGACAGCAGGACACCCCAGGGCTTAGGCACCCAGTCTCCCAGGCACACCATGGAAGGGAAAGGACTCGTGGCTGAGCTGCAGAGAGCGGCTATCTGCCCTGCCTGCAGGGGACACTTCAAGGACCCAGTGACCCTGGACTGCGATCACAGCTACTGCCGCGCCTGCATCACCCGTTACTGGGAAGAGGCAGCTGCTGCCGGGAAGGGACCCCGGGTGCTGTCCTGCCCTCAGTGCAAGATGGTCTTTGAGAGGAAGAACCTCCGGACCAACGTCAAGTTGGCCGTGGAAGTCAAGATCACCCAACATCTCAATGCCAAGACAGCCGAGGTGCCCCTCGGCCCCAGCCCCAGGAGGCGTCGTGGAGGGTGGATACCCGCAACCAGCATCCGGGAGGGAAAGGTAGGACCGGGGGTCTCCCATTGGCTTTTGGGGGTTGTCAAGGGCTAAGTCCGGCGCTAGGGTTCAGTCCTCAGAAATGCTAAGGGATTAGTTCCTTTGAGCATGTGCAGAGTGCCTCCCGCCTGAGTCCAACATCTGGAGGGCTTTCAAGGCACAGGACGTGCTTCCCAGTTGTGCTTTTGCTTTGGCCCCTTTCCTTTTAGAAACAAGGTGCATTGCGACCTTTTGTTATAACACTGAGACGGACGGGTTGGCAGACGCCAGGGTCCTTGCGGGCACCCTGTTTTTTATTTATGCCAGAGACGTCTACTCAACTCACCGCTATTTCAAGTCTTGCCTTGAACATCTCCAGCTTCTTAGAAGACTCTGGGGGGAACAGGGATCTGGAAAGACCGCAATCTCTAAACAGCTGAAGGATGAGCAGGAAATAAAGAGGGAAAGCCCGGGAGGGTGGCCGGGGAGAAAGCAAACACAACAGAGGTGTTAATCCCGAGGAAGACATGAATATTGAAGCTGCTACTGATTTCCATCCTTGCCTCTTCTCCCCATTCGTTGCCCTTCAGCATTTCCTTCCCCTCTGTACCACACTCTGGCCGGATCCCTGCCTAGTTCCTCCCCAAGCTCCTTCTCAGTGCTCAGATCTTCACATGAGATTCCATAGCTTGCCCATCAGCGAGGGTTGTCAGGTCCCCCCTGGCCACCAGCAGCGGTAGACCTGCCAGCTCCATGTTGAGAAACTCCTGGAGATTTGGGGGTGGAGCCTGAGAAGGACAGGGACCTCAGTGGGGTACAAGGCCATAGAGTCCACCCTCCTGAGCATCCGTTCTCTCCAGGGGGACTGATCTCTGGAGTCCGGAGACGAGCTGTAATTCTGGGGGATCCCCAGGTCCCACCTGGAGGTTGGCATCAATGCTCCCTCTAAGCTGTGGAGTCTTGGTGAGCAAAACGTCTACTTTGTGAGCAACTGGCATTAAAGTTGCGAGCGAGTGATTTGGCTTCTGCCTACATTAGTTTGCTCTGGAGCCATCCTTCCTGAGCGAAGGCAAAAATGTGTGAGCCGGAGGCTAAAAAACTGCAAGCTAGTTTAAACTAACTCAGCTTAGAGGGAACACTGGTTGGCATCCCTACTATCAGCCAGGGCCACTCACACCTTGTTCCTTGCAAGGTATCTCCTGCTATGACTGTTTGGTAGCAACTGCATAGCACTTTCAGGATTCAAAGTGCCTCGTGTGCTGTTTGTCATTTGCAGTTCTTACAACAGCTCTGCAAAGTTGGCTATTTTTATTGTCCTCAAACTGCAGATGGGGAGGGGGGCTGAGCTGAAGTAGAGAGAGGAGCTGCCAAAGTCCTGAAACACAAAGGAGTTTTAAAATGGCTTCTTGTACCACCCTGCGCATGCACATATACAAGAGATGGTGAGCCTCCCCCACCACCACATTTTTATGAGAGACAGTGTGGTGTAGTGGTCACAGTGTTGGGCTAGGATCTGGGAGACCCAATCCCACTCAGCCACGGAAGCTTGGTGGCCTTGGGTTACTCTTTCTCTCTCAGCCTAACCTACCTCACAGGGTTGTTCTGAGGGTGGGGAGAAGGATGCAAGCTACTTTGGGTCCCCACTGGGAAGCAAGGCAGGGTATAAATGAAGTCAATGAATAAATGAAACATGTTGAAGGTGCTGTTAAAACAAGCTAGCCTGGCGTGATTGATCTATTTACATTGGTAATGAGTGTGGCTTGAAGGGAATCTCAGATCTCAGTTACAACATCCTATCTGCTAGTTTTAGGCTCAGGATTTTCTTTTCCCCCTGAAGGGGAGACCTGGAAGTTTTAACACACACACACACACACGCAATAAGAGATAATCTGATCAGGTATAGCCACAAACTACTAAAAACTAAGAGTATTAGATTCATAATGCAAATTCCTGGAGTCCCAGTGGCAGAATCCTGGGCGGTGAGAACTTCATAAATCGGATCCGCCTTCCTTAGCTGCAGACATAAATTACCCAGGACAGCTAGAATCCGTTCCCTTTGGTTGCTTCATCTTCTCCTGTTTAATAAATCCAGCTGAGAAGAAGCTGTCTTGCCAGTCGAGACTGACAAGATATTAAGCGATACTGTCTGTCGGAGTAGAGGGAGGTACAAGATGGGAGGGAGAGCGAAACAAAGCCATTGCCAGGGATGTTGGAGTTTCGTGACTGCCGCGATGCCAGATGTGTAATCTGGCCTGGAATGGGGCAGCTACTGCAGACTGAAGCATTCTTCAGCCAGGGCACACTGCCCGTTTGCTAACCAAGGCATACTTTCTGGTGGTCTCCAAGGCACCAGAACACCAGTAGAAAAAGCAGATTAGGAAAAAAGAAAGGTCCTTTCCACCAGTGATTTGTGACTTGATTGTTTCCATATTCCTACCTTGTGATTCTTTGGGACTCAGGGCCATTTTTCTCAACCAGCTGAGACCCAGGCCCATTACGCATGCACATCTTACAGCAGATATCCAGAGCAGTCAGCCTTTAATCTTGAGTTCAGATTCTGTGCTTGCCTTACACACCATTCTTTTTCCTCTGGTGTATTTATTCTGCAGCTACAATAAAAAAAAATCCACACTTTTCTAAATAATGGTGGAACGACACTTGTGACGTGTGGAGGGTGGCGTTCAAAGTTTTGATGCCAGATGTGTAATCTGGCCTGGAATGGGGCAGCTACTGCAGACTGAAGCATTCTTCAGCCAGGGCACACTGCCCGTTTGCTCCTTTGATAACCAAGGCATACTTTCTGGTGGTCTCCAAGGCATCAGAACACCAGTAGAAAAAGCAGAAAGAAAGGCCCTTTCCACCAGTGATTTGTGACTTGATTGTTTCCATATTCCTACCTTGTGATTCTTTGGGACTCAGGGCCATTTTTCTCAACCAGCTGAGACCCAGGCCCATTACGCATGCACATCTTACAGCAGATATCCAGAGCAGTCAGCCTTTAATCTTGAGTTCAGATTCTGTGCTTGCCTTACACACCATTCTTTTTCCTCTGGTGTATTTATTCTGCAGCTACAATAAAAAAAAATCCACACTTTTCTAAATAATGGTGGAACGACACTTGTGACGTGTGGAGGGTGGCGTTCAAAGTTTTTTTTTTAAATGCAATTGCCCCATTGAAGCTGCACAGTAACATCCAGTAAGCACCTTCCATTTAAATCCTTGTGGTTTAGATTTTGTGCTTGCATTTTGGCATTAGTTCATTGAATGAAATGGAACAGAAAGGAATGCAGGCGAAGGGAGGAAATGCACCGTTGAAACTGACCAGACTTTTCCTGAAATTAACAAGCAGCTGCAAAGCCCCATTTTCCATACTGCCAAGCACTAGGGAATTCTCTGCTGTGTTATTAGCCACTGTGAATAATGGCAAAGAGTCACATGATCTCATAATATGGGGGAACATGTTGAGTGTACAGAGTGCACAGTAGAGCCCACTGACACTGGCACTGCAAGCTGTGATCATCGGCAACGTGTTTGTGTGCACATGCACTCCTGGGCAAAGTCCACCACACTTTGCACAGGACTGCAAATTGTATGTGGGAGGATTCCTCTGGTGGAAGCTCTGGAGATTTTTTTTTAGTTTTGTGCCACTAAATTGTAAAAAAAGGGGGGGTATTTTCACTGATGCCCTACTGCAGCTGCATAGTAATGCTAATTTCCTGCCCTTTCTTGCAAGTTTGGGTGGTTTTCTCTTTGTGATTCCCTAATTTTATCCTGCACAGTGATCTTGATCTTGGCAGCTTTTAAAAGCCTGTCCTGTGCAGCTTGCACTCTTCCTCCAAATGGATCGATCCCAAATGATTCTTACTTTCGGTAGTTTGGAGAAGGTCCATGTGGCTCAGCTGCTATTTTAATGCCCCCCCCCCACTTTCTTCACTAAAGCCTGAAAAGGAAAAATGTTTTCAAAGCTTTAGGCTTCCCATCCCAGTCTCTCTCTCTCTCTCTTTACATCTCATGCAATTTTATTCTGCGCTGAAAATGTTTGCATGTAGCACTGAAATCCTTTTTTTCCATTCCTTTTGCACTGGGGACACTGCCGTTTGCCTCCTCTCCAATCCCTCTTTCAAGTCGATACAAGCAGCGAACTAAACTTTGTGCAGCTCCTTTTAAACTTCCCCCCATCGTTTAAATGTTTTCAGTTCAGCGATCCAAGATTAGCGATAGTCTTGTATCGCTAGACTCACGCCGCTTGTAAAAATATATATATATTTAAAAACGAGGGGGAAATGGAACTTGCACACCAATGATGGGGGGAAGATGGCAGAAGGTGCCGAGTGGGTGGAACGACCTTGATGTGTGTGGGGAGTGACCTTCAAGGGGCAGCAAAATGGTAGTGGTGGTGGGAATCTGAGGGATCTCTACGCTTTTGAATTACCTTTGGCTTAGAAGCAAAACAAGTGAGAAATTGGCACAAAAGGACTCTCAGAAAACCCAGGGAAACAGCAACCAGAAAGCAAGCTGAGCACTGAGGGGAGGAAAATCAATGCCGAATGACAAAGAAAACCCAACGGGCATTCACAGTGAAAGTGCAGGAAACTACCCGTGCATTCTAGGCCCCCGTGTGGTGTGGTGGTTAGAGTGTCAGACTAAGATCTGGGAGACTGAAGTTCAAATCCTCATTCTGCCCTGAAGCTCACCAAGTGACCTTGGGCCAGTCACTCTCTGTCTCATAGGACCGACATGAGGATAAGATGGAGGTGTCAAGAACGGTGCACCCTGCCTTGAACCCCTTGGAAAAAGGAGAAAACAAAAATGTGCCAACTAAAATAATATCAGTTAGTAGGCAAATGATAGTGAGCCTTGAGCATAGATCCCAAGCAGTGTTCCTTCTAAGCTGAGTTAGTGTGAGCCAGCTCACAGTTTTTTAGCCTCCGGCTCACACATTTTTGTCTGAGTTCAGGAAGGATGGCTCCAGAGCAAACTAATTGATGCAGCAGCCAAATCACTCGCTCGCAACTTTAATATCACTA